CTGCAAGCCTTCGAGTTTGTGTGATATTAAACATAAATCATCTGCTAAGTCCAGATTTTCTAGAGCCTTCTTATCGGTAGGTGCAGCGTACTCCTGTCTTCTCACTCCCAACGCACATCCAGTGCACCACAACCAGGAATATCATCACTAGTGATAATAGGCAGTTAGTCAGCCTTGTCTTACACCTGTGTTCACTTCAGTCACTTCTTCGCCGAGTTTTCCATTGCGGATCACCTGACACTTGACACTGTCATATAGCTCTTAAATGAGGTTGACAAAGACTCGAGGCACTGCACACCACAGTGTTGAGGCAGTTCCCAAATTACTTCTCGGTCAGCTCTGTCAAAAGCCCTTTCATAGTGAGTGAAGTTGAGGTAGAGTTTTGACCGCCACTCTATGCTCTGTTCGATGGTGATTCGTAAAGTTGCTATTTTATCAACATATGACTGACATTTCCTGAATCCATTTTGTTCCGGGCAGAGCTCTGTACCCAGTGCGACCCTCATTTTTCTTCGGGACGGTGCGACATAGTATTTTACTTGGCGTGGACATGAGCATTATTCCACTCCAGTTCTCATAGAGTGAGGCGTAAGTTGCCCTTCTTTGGTAGCTTTAAAAGGTAGCCTTTCCTGCAATAATTGTAGCTAGTGACACTAAATCCCTAGTTTACACGTCTTGGTTACACTCGTGTTCCTGCTACCACACAACTGATGTTTCTGTGGAACACTACCGGCATCAGATGCTACAATGTTTTCTCTTCTTGAATATCAGTTAAGAACTAGATTCCTGGCGGAAATACTCATGTTCACATGCTGTCTAAATAACAGTGTTTTCACTAACTGGAGATACACCCGAGTACAGTTAATCATGTTTCACTTCAAAAGCCTTTTACACACTTGGATGTTACTCATTTACACCTTGCCACCCTTATGAACTACGTAATTGGACAGATGGACAGAAAGTTAATATTATTTGTAAGCAGTGTTACACTTCAGAAGGACCATCCGTAATACTCTTCTTGCCCAAATGCACACTGATATCAAGCTAAGTTGGTGCCATCTGAAGCAGTTAGCGATTACCCCAGAAAGATCGGTATCCTGAAATTCCATGTGACAATGTAAATTCACCTACCATTGGACAATTTTAACTATGAACTTCATCAAAATGGACGAAATCACGACAAAATTTAGGCTCTTTTCTCATTTATAACGTGATTTATTCGATGTCCCAGGAACGATTTCATTAATTCTGGATGAAAATCAAAAGCTTACAAACCTCACACACTCTTCAGAACAGATATCTAACTTAAGTCTTTGGGTTTATTCTCTAAAAGCCTGAATCTCATAGAATAACTGACATAGCATTAACCAATATCTGTAGTCGATTTACAACCTGAAAATCAAAAAACCAGCCATTGATATCGGAATCTTAAGTCTCCCAAACAAAAATTGAAGTCATTTCTATGTATAATTTCTCTTGCATACCTTTCTTCGTAATAATTCATATGGGATATCAAAACACTTCGGGAGCACTGCGGAAACTTTGGAGTAGACTGCAGATAACCATCTCACGTCCATGAGTGCACTCGAAAAAATGCTAGCTGGGAATACGAAGGGCAAAGTTAAACTTTTGACACCAATAACAACCAATCAGCAAACGACTTTGAACGGACCAATCACATGAAAGAGGCGATTATGATAAATGGAAGCGTATATTTATAAAAAAATGCATAAAAAAGGATAAAATGGTTACAATGGGTATCTTCCCCGAACATGGGACAGGAAGATCTCCCAATCCAGCATGGGACTGTCAATAGAGAAGTCGCACCATATTCTATACATATATTCGTCTAAATGACTATAAATCAGATCCTTTTGCGATCCATTTATAGCCCGGATCCTATTTTTCAATCGACCGCAAAATCCTTCAATGGAATTCGTATGAGTCCCTGTAACTGGATCGACGAAATCATTTGAGTGGTTCACTCTGTGATGAATGTATCCCAGGGATGACAATTAATCATAACCTTTCCACTCGTCGGTATGTACAATTGATCCCCGTTTGACAAGTCGCGTTATAATAGGTATCAGAGTAGTCGCCTTCCTGGCTGCTATTCTTTCAACAAATCCTTTTCGGAGGGACGTGTCGTATAAACATATTACCCAAATGTTGTTTGCTCTCTGACGACCACGGTCATATTTCTTCTTCACCAACACTGTCTCATCCACATGCACTTCTACGCCCTCCTCGCCTAACAACGAAGTAATTTTCTCCATTTTCCATGAGGCGATGTCTCTACAGTGCTGATACCATTGGACTGTTGAGACGAGGCTATTCTTGTCTCCGCACCTACCACTCTAACTGGCTGCTTCAATACCCAATAGTTGCAGATATACAAAATCTGGGTTAGGGAGAGATGCGACCTAGCAAAAAAAGTTCCTACGAAATATTAAAATTAGCAGCTTACCCTCTCTAATACTAACTCGCTTCCAGCATATTCCACAACGATGGACAAATCCATCAGTTGACTTCGTATAGCTTTTTAGAGTCATTACACCACCACACGAACAACTCTCCTTTCGAAGCAAGCCTAAGTCCAGGCAATATTGAAAGACACTATCCTCTTCTAATTGCAAACGTAACCTTGTAAGGGCACGCATTGGAAATGAATCAAGCGCTATACAACATTTAACTACGTTCGTGAATCTCATTGGATAATTCGACGTCGTCCGCTGATTGGTAGTTATTGGTGTCTAAAGTTTAACTTGGCTATACGAATATATCACGGGACAATATTGCTTTTTTAGACTACAGAAGCGTAAAACTGATCAAATATTCTATAGTTTCACAAAATTAGACGCTTATAATGCATCAATAGGCATGAATACGGTATCCCATACGATGCACAAAAATACATCACGATATGCATTATCCTCACTCTTTAATAACAACGCTGAAATTTTAAAATGATGACCTTGGTATGTGTACATTAAAAATAATTGATGTAGATAAACAAAAAAGCTGATTGAATACTTGAACATGAATATTGAATGATTCATTTACATCATAACTGATGAAAATTAGTGAATTTTTATTATGAAGGAAAAAGAGATGAATAAAAAAAATAAAAGAGGGACTATTCACAACATAGAAATGTATATGATTTTAAGTTAGATATCTTATGCAATGAATATATATGAGCAGTAGACGACAATCTGTAGTGACTTATTACAGATTCTCATAGATAAGCATGACTCGATTCAATCAGTATGGTTGGATGAAAAATGACATTGAAGTTTACTGATGGTTTTGAAATACGCACGCACGCAAGTAACAAGTTTATTCATGAAAAGATGAGTGTATAGATTTAAATAATAATAATTTGTTCTTCGTAGTTAACTGCAACCACACCCTAAAACAATGAGATTATGCAGTCGATGCATTTGTAATTCACGATTTGTATCTAAGTAGAGAACAGGCATACTAGCCAAATGTGTTGGATGACAGCAGGATTGTATTTCATCAGGTTGTATATTGCCGAATTGTGATAAGTTTCTACGCAGCAGGATATCCATGACGTCATAATGTAGACTTTTTGCTGATGTGACTGAAATTGGTAATAAAAAGGAGAAATATGAGAAACTTATGAGAAACTAGAGGTAAGTAAATGCCTAATTTAAACATTATTTTGGTTTATAATGACTATCAGCGGAATTCTGGATGAGGATCTCGTACTTTTCAGGACTGATCACCTGGATCTACTTACATTCTCAGTAAATGATGATGTTTCCCCTGAAACCGATACTCTGAACCCAATTTTTAAAACGTCGAAGGCTTATCCACTGGGCTTGGAACGCCAGTGAACTTTGATCATTACTTTCGTTGATTGACAAAGTTAATTTCTTGATATTAGATGGTTGAAGGCAATCTGAAGGAAGCTTCGCCTGACCTAGGTTTCGTTTCAGTTGGCTGGCACTCATCAGTCAACAAAGTGTATCTGCAACCACATTGAAAGACTAATGTCCCTTCTGAGATTCGAACCCGAGTCACTACCCAGTGAGTACTGCAGTTAGAGACGTTACCACTGAACTATTCGGGCTCGCCATTGACCTCCTGTAGGACTGTAGTGGATACTTTGATTGGACACTAGTAAGTAACTAGTGTGATGTATCTAGCCCAAATAGCTCAATGGTAACGTCTCTGACTGATTGCAGTACTCATTGGGTGACACAGGTTCGAATCTCAGAAGGGACATGAATTCCTTCAAGGCAGTTGCAGATACACCTTGCTGACGAGTGCCAACTAGAACGAAATCTAGGTCTAAGGCTTCCTGGAGATTGCCTCCATCCATCTAATTTCATCAAATCAATGTGCACCATGATGGCGAGCTACCTAGTGGCATGGTGGTCACATTGCAAACCTGACTGATAGAATTCAGTTTGCACAAAATAAAGGACTAGACACATCACACTAGTTACTAGTGTCCAATCAAAGTTAATTTCATTTGCCAGGTGTTAGTGTGCGACCATCTATGTTGTGCTAGCTGAAGGATGCAATGCTGTATTAGTATTTATAATTTTCAATCAGAATCATCAGCAACAACTTCAGGGAAAAAAGGAAATCTCATGACATGATTTCTGTTTCACAACGAGCGAAAAAACCTTTCGGTGTTTAGATCACCTGCTATCTGGCCGCCTAGTTAGCAAGCACTACTGGCTGTTGTTAATGGCCTTCAACTATTCAAAACAAATAATCAATCAATAAGTAATGTACAGAGGGATGCAGAGGCATTAAAAGCTGTATTCACAGCCCTTTATTTATTCCTTTATATTCCCAGAGGAACATAGGGTTTCAAGCGTCAGCTTTGAAGTTTCGGTAGCAGTGATGCTTATTTTTACGGGATGGCGCTGCTAGCCTCATGCCCAACTTTTTCTCTTTGCGAGTCTTATTACTGGCTTAGCGAGGTAAAGGAGTGCGCCAGTCAGGGATCGAATCCCGAACCACGTGAGGCTTGGTTGACAAGCATTCTACTGCTGTGCCACTGGCGCCGCATTCACAGCCCTATGTACTAATATTTCAATCAGACAGAAACTGTGTGGGAAAATTTCGGTGGAAAGTTAGTCGAAATTTTTTGATTTCAAATATCTTCAAGTAATCGGTGGCATATTTTCAAATGTGTCCTATTCAAAACCTTGTGATTAGTCACTTGACTGCGTCATCCTACTCAAAAGGTTGACGGATCTCTATTCTTGTTGGATTTTGTTAGACCTTGTTAAAAGTAACTTTATTTGAAGGAATAGTAGGGATTACATGCCCACCTTCAGCATCGAATATCTCTCATCTCAACATCAGTTTCTCTTCGAATCTCCTCTGTTGGTCACCTCATCATATCCCGATGATTTCTAACAAAATTATTCGTTTCACTTATTACGTAAAGAAGTTGAGAACTTCAGGCATCATAACTCAACCTATTTTCTTACAATTTATTATTTCATGTGTTCTGAGCATTCTCTTTGATTGTTCGCCATTATTCTTCCCTAGATTTCTCAAAAAAGACTATGTCATATTACGTAGAACAGTGAAGGCTGTAAGTAGGCAGGGTTAGTGGTGTATGTGCCTTTGACTCAGCTAACTGACATTGTCGTTGTTGATTGATAGGCACTTCAATTCACTTCTTGCAAACAGTTATTGGGCTAAAGTTATCTTGTCTGATACTGAACATCCTCTCCACTCATTCTCAACTTTTGCCTTGTATATCTTCGGGAAGTGAAACCAGAAGGAACTGCATGAGAAGCATTTACGCTCACCCAGCTACTAAATATAAAACTTCTACCGTAGCACCATATTTAGCGTGGGTGGTTTTGTGTGAAGAGATAGTCAGATTTCAGAAAAGAACTTATAAACTTTTTAAATCAGTAAGTGAACTGCAAAGTATAAGCAAAGACTATTATTATTATTATTACATGTATTATCTATGATACTATCTACTTATACTTCATTATGTTTCCACCAACATTCTGTTTATAGTGGTTTCATTATTAATATTGCTATTATTACTGTTTTAAATTTTATGTATTTACATATTTATAAAAGGTCCTAAATTATTACAGTATGTATCAAAGCGCTGAAAATTCCATTTTATATTTACTATTAATATTGTTCCCTTGGGTTCCGAGTGGAACATAGGGCTTCAACAACATATCTCCACTTTGTTCTATTTTCTGCCATCCTCTTCAGGTGCCCAGGCACACGATTGACCAAACTCTCTCATCTACTCCTCCCAAATACACGACCTCCTCCATGTCACCCTCACACTCACGACCCACTCGTTACTTCCTATTGGGATTCCATTTGAGCGATGGCATGTATTGCGCGCGATTTCATTCGACGATCTCCTTAGTGTCGTTTGCCCTAGCCATCTCCATTTTCTCCTACATATTTGTTAAGCAGTCGGCTCTTGCCTGTTGGTTTGTTGCAAGATTTTCTTGTTACTAATTGTTTCTGGCCATTTGATCTTCAATATGGACAAGAGGTAGCAGCTGTTCACGAAAGTCTGCACTGACCTGTTGGAAATCCTTTTCGTGACACGCTGGCCAAGTTTCTGATCCGTATAGAAGCACTGACCGACTTGACATTGGTGTTGAAAATGCGAATCTTGTTCCTTATGCTGAGTGAAGCAGAAGATTTCCATGCTGGTTTCAGGTTGTTGAAGGCGTATCTTGCCTTTCTGATTCTCAATGACTTTGACATCTTCATCCGTTCTAACTGTCTGTAGTTGAAACGATGCTGGCTGCTTAGATAAGTGAAGGAGGTAACCTCTGTCAGAACCTTACTGTTGATAGTGATTGGTGTTGGTTGTTGTTGTTGTTGCTGTCGGTTGGTTGGTTGGTTATCTTCATCTCCTCCGTCTTTTCTATGTTCACCTGGAGTTCTGTCTTCTCTGCCTCTTCAGCGGTTTTGTGCAATTATTACTATTGTTTGGAATGAAGTGATTATTATACTTATAACATTATTATTATTATGAGTAACAGTGCGTCGGTGGCATAGCGGATAGGACGCTCGCCGATCATGCACATGGTCCGGGGTTCGATCCCCGGCCACTGGACGTACTCCTTCACCTCGCTAAGCCAGAAATAATGCTGGTGAAGAGGAAAGGTTGGGCATGAGGCTAGCTACCCAATCCTGTAAAATAAACACTGCTACAGAAACTTCAAGCCACTAGCTTGAGGCCCTATGTTCCACTGGGGAACGTGAGGGAAAAAAAATGAGTAAACAACTGCATATATATAATATTGTTCTTTTAAAACTAGCCTGATTCATTTACCACAAGTTTCTCATTGTTACATTTACAGATGAAAGTGAAACAATCTCTTAATGAAAGGAGTCATCATCATCAAGGTCATAATCACTGACTCACTTTTACATGATCCAAGACAATAATTCAATTGAAAAGCTTTCGGTTGTATAATCCAATTATCCCAGCCAATATCAGCAAATTTTACAGACAGTGGTTGTGTACAACAACCAAAATGATGTCCAGTTGAATGACAAACATTCGATAGTGTTTCATCACCTTCCATTACTGAAGAACGTTTCTGTCTGTAAACACGTGGATGATATCTAATTTCAACAACAACCTACAAAAATAAGGAAAAAAATTAGACAAATATGAATTATGTAAAAGTTATACTTTACTACAAATTTAGGACACAACAAACTTTCTTGGTTCTCTTGTAACGACAGACGGCAAGAGTCAGGCAACAGATCATTTATTAAGGAAATCAACGCATATTTATATATGTTTTCACGTACATTACTATGGATATGTAAACAAACAAACACAGTCTTCCGATTGGTTGTTTCTCACGACTTCATGTACATTACTATGGATATGTAAACAAACAAACACAGTCTTCCGATTGGTTGTTTCTCACGACAAATCTTGGGAACGTAAATATTGACGTAAATTACTGTCTACCAATTTGGCTAGTAGACAGCTCTCACCACACTCTAACTGTGATATCAATCCGTGGTCAAACTCGTAAAAACAAACTTACACCTTAGAAACCAAGTCTTGAAAATAATTGATTTTGTTGTCTAGGATGTAGGCAGTTGAAGAGGGAGAGAATCCATGGAATAAAATGAGTTCGTATCATCCTGCAAATATCTGCTTGTTAGATCAATTAAAGATGCTTGTATACTATTCATCTAGAAATGTATCTTATGTAAAGGTTAAGAAAATTTTAATTTACGCTCTTGTTATTTGTACTCCTTCACTAAATCTGAATATTTAAGTCCTGATTAGATGATTTTTACATGTTGTTGTATATTTCAGCGAGTTTTGAAGGTTAAACACTGAAAACTATTCAACATTTTACATTATTACCTGAATAGAATCCTTTTGACTAGATATATAAAAATGAGCAAAAAACAAGTTTTACCAAGTAACTGAGTAAACGTAATTTTTGTATTTAAGTGGAAAGTAGATAATAGTTTGACCTATAAGTTCCAGCTTTATACATTTATTTCATACATTTATTCCCCTTAATGAATTTGAATAAAGCAAGAACAACAGTTTTTGCAGAATAAAATGGTACCTTGAAATAACAAGGTTGAAGCATGCAATCTATGAAACAAATTCTTATTGTCGATATTTCACAGATGACATATTTGTAGTTTGCAACAATGAAAGTCATGATTCCGACTTACTCAGATTATTCAATGACGCACATACCAATATTGAATTTACTATGGAACATGAAAGTGATGGAAAGTTCCACTTCCTCGACATTGCCATGCAACGCCTAGAAGATGGTGGTCTTCAGAAGTCAGTTTATCGAAAGTCTAAGAATGGACAATACCTACATTTTAATAGTTTTTGTCCAAATAGCTTTAAACGTGGACTAGTCAAGACTCTATACTATAGAGCTAGGAGATTATGCTGTATAGAGAAATTAGAGGAAGAATTTATGTTTCTCGAAAAGATGTTGAAAAGCAGTGGTTACCCTCAAAGATTCATTAACAATTACGGAAGATCTGAAGTCTCAAATGTCAAACAAATCAGAGTGGGGAAAAGCCTATGTACATTCAACTTGATTATAAAGCTGAAAATATTACAGCAATTTTCAACAGAAGATTGAGGACGTCACTAGCCAGAGCCTATCCCTTGCAGCTAAGCTCGTTCCCGTCTATCGAACAACTTGCTCATCTTTGGTGCAATCAAAAATCGATAGATATACAGAAATTTACATGTGTCTGAGGGAATAGTTACATTGGAAGAACAGAAAGTAGGGCATATTTACGATTTTCTGAACATGTACCAAAAAGCTTATGTTTAAAGGGAACAAATACTTTAAACAGTGCCATTGCCACGCATCTTCTTGACACGGGTCATGAGGTGGACGTCGAAAGATCGTTCAAAATTATCAACAGGCAAAAGAGCTCAATTCTCCTCAATCTTTCCAAAGCGATCTCCATCAAGCGCCTGAGACCTGATTTATGCGTTCAGAAAGAAGCAGTTATCAGTCTTTCTTTGCCCCCTGGTAGCTGGATATTTTCAGCTCTCTTACGTAATTTCGAAAGTTCCCATTGTGTATGATCCTTATTGTTTGGGATAAAGTGTTTATTATTATTATATATATATATTATTGTATGCATATATTGATTGATTTTTGTTTATAAATGAATCCTCTGTGCAAGTATGTTAGAGTTGTTTCTGTAAATATACTTAATAATGACTTTGGCCTGTAAGCAGCTGATGAGAAACCAACGAAATAAACAATGATGGTACCATTTTATTCTGCAAAAACCACTGTTGTTCTTGCTTTATTCAAATTTATACATTCAGTTATAATAGTTATTCTTCTCATGAAATAATAATCAGGAGAAGGCATTAAATTAGTGTATTTATAACTGAATAAAATAACCTGAAGTGTAACAGATCTTTCTGATAAGAATATCACAGCATCACATCTCAGATAGTCATCCTCCCTAAGCCTTCTAAACTAAGTATTTTCTTCCTGGAAGAATATGTCAGTTATCGTCTAGAAGAGGGAATCACAGGAAGGCCTTTTTGCTTACTTTCAACTGATAGACTAAATGTTCCAATGGTACAGTTAAATTCGGCGCCTTTAAAAAGTATGATGTATAAAAGATGCCACTGTAGATGCCGATTTCAAACAACTTCCAGTTACTTTGCATGGGTCGACAAGATTTCATCCCCCTTCCACCCTTCCACTTCAAGAAATCACATTGTTTAAATTATTTTGCCCAGAGTTGGTTTGTAGGGATTTGATTTGTCTTTTTCAAGTTTGACCACGGATTGAAATCAGTTAGAGAACCATTGAAAATCTTTACTGGAGTGCTGGACAGCTGTTTCGTCAGCCTAGTTTGGGACTCATCGGTAGTGCGCACCCACTGGCTTTCAAAACCACAACCTTCCAGTTTCAAAGCAAACTCGTAGACTCACAAATCAACTCTTGAAAATTAATCTGATGCTAGCTAGTGAGTGGCTACTGGACGGAGTTTCCTAGACTTAGTTCTATTGAAAAGTCGTGAACAGTGTGGTATATCGGGTCGGGAGTGAGGACAAATTCTCACTGATGACACTGGCTGGTGCCAGTAGCGCGAAAATCACTACGAATTGGTAGAAGTTAGAATTCATGGGCTGGCCATTGAGGAGTTGGGTCCCAGTGGTTGAATGGTCTACAAGCTAGCTTGACTTGTAACCGGAATGTCGTGGGTTCGAACCATGGTAGTGGGCGCGTACTTTCAATGAGTCCCAAACTAGAGCGAGACAACTGTACAGTACTCCAGTGATGGTTTTCAATGGTTCTCTAACTGATATCAATCCATAGTGGAACTCGACAAATTATTTTGTATTTTCAAGTATGGGTTTGCAGACATTTGATTGGTTACAAGTTTTATCGCAGATTGACATCAGTCCATCGCCAATGGCATTGACTAGTGGTTACGGAATATTTCGCAAATTGGCACATGTTGGGAATTATGAGCCATTGTAGCAGATCCAGGTGGCTGAATGGTCTACGAGCTCAACTTGTAGCTGTAACGTCGTGCGTTCGAACCTTGCACGGGGGGAGGTTGCATACCGATGAAGAGTCTCAAGTTCGGAAGAAATAGCTATCCAGTAGTCCCTGCTGGTTTTCCAATGGTTCTCTGACTTATATCAACTCAGGATCGAACTTATTTCCCTTTGAATGAATTTCAATGGACCAAAGTACTCGATCTTTATTTACATGATGGTTGTTAGTAGGAATGCCTCGACGATTTATGAAGGCAAATTTTACTGACGTGTCACAGAAACGTCGAAATGCACGTCTTCAATTCTATAACTATCAGCCTAGCCATCAATCAAATAATATCATGCCATTATTTCTGTTCTAATAAAGATATGCAATATTTTAGGAAATTGAAGTCATATACAGGATTTTAAGGCAAAAATGTGTTTTAAAGTCTTCAAAATATTTTGATTTTTGCGCTTAACTTAAAATTATATCTGCAAGAAGCGCGAGTAATGTAAGCTGACGAAACGGAAACGAAATAATTGTCGTAGATGTCTTGCATGACTCGACTGTTGTAGTGACATGAGTTATTTAACTCTTACCATAACCTTCAGTGTAACAGGTGGTCTATACTGCAGGATTTTAGGCGATCAGTAATTTCATTGGACACCAGTAAATATTGTGATGTGTCTAGTTCTTTGTTTTTGGTGCAGACTGAATTCTATCAGTCAGGTTTGCAATGTGGCCACCATGCCACTAGGTAGCTTGCCGTCTCGGTGCACATTGATTTGAAGATATTAGATGGTTGGAGGCAATCGGCCACAGGATGCCTTGGACACCACCTAAGTTTCGTGCTAGTTGCCACTCACCAGTCAACAAGGCTTATCTGCAACTGCCTTGAAAGAACTTATTTCCCTTCTGAGGTTAGGACCCGCGTCACCCGGTGAGTACTGCAGTCAGTCAGAGACGTAATCACTGAGCTATTCGGGCTCACGATTGACCTTCTGCAAACCTGACTGATAGAATTCAGTCTGCACCAAAAACAAAGGACTATATACACTATACTAGTCACTGAATAGTGTCCAATCAAAGTATCCACTACAATCAATGCTACAGGAGCTCAATCGCCAGCCTAAATAGCTCAGTGGTAGTGTCTCTGACTGACTGTAGTACTCACTGGGTAGTGACGTGGGTTCGAATTTCAGAAGGAACATGAGTTCCCTCAAGACAGCTGCAGACACGCCTTGTTGACTGGTGAGTACTAGCCAACTAGCACAAAACCTAGGTGGTGTCTAAGGCTTCCTGTCGACTGCCTTCAACCATCTAATAAGATCAAAAATTTAAATGAGAAACTGGAGTTGAGTGATCTTAAAAATAAAACATAACAGACTGCCTATTTGACCTTCAACTGTTGTACGACAACTAGACATCTGATTTGATTACTGTATCAACTCAAAGAGTTTTTAGAGATTTGGTTTCTCTTTGGCGTAGATTGCGTCACTCGCTGAACTGAAAAAAATGCCTACCAAATGAGAAGTAGTGGCTAGTGGGGTGAACTATGTTCTCGGTGTGAATCCTAGTGAGCCTTTGTTGCATGCCGTTGAAGGGCCTTTAACTGGGACGAAACAGTTGTCCAATGCTAAACGATTCAGTGATTAACTAAGTGATGCCTGTCAGTGACGAGGTCTACAATGGAATTTGACATCAGGTGAAAACAGAATCTTTATAAATAATAATTTTTTTAGTAACATAGAAATGAAGCTTGTCGTTAACACCTAGACTAGAAACTACTGAGCTATCTGCTGAACTTTTAAACTAAACAGTTCTTTGGTACGGCATTCGATAAATTTTAAGGATGCTCTTTTGATCAAAAACCAATATCATGTCAAGCGGAAATTTGACAGAGGTTACTTCCTTCACTTATATGGCTAGGAAGTATTATGTCAACCACGGGCAGTCTGAAGGGATGAAGATGTCAAGGCTGGCCAGCGAGAATCAGAAAGGTGAGATATGCCTTCATCAATCTGAAACCAGTTGGAAAATCTTCTGCTTCACTCGGCAGGTTAGCATAAGCAACAAGACTCGGATGTTCAGCACAAATGTCATTGAAGTCAGTCAGTGAGTTCTTCTATATGGGTCTGAAACTTGGTGAACGCCTCACAAAAGGCATTTCCAACAGGCCACTACAGAATTTTATCAAAAACTGTCTTTGATGATTCCATATTGAAGATCAAATGGTACGCTGGCCGGAAAGAATTATCAACGATAAAACTCTGGCGATGTACAAACTAACCAAGAGCTGATTACTCAACAAATATTTAGGAAAAAATAGAGATGGATTGGTCACACGGCACTGAGGAGGCCGACGAGTGACATCGCGCTCAGTGTAGGCCATCGCTTGAGTGAAACCTGAATGGGAAACAAGCGATGAGTGAGTCGTCAGTGTGAGGGTGATAGGGAGGAGATCGTGTTTTAGAGAGGGAGAGATGCAAGATTATGGGGAATCGTGGACCCAACCTGATGGAGAGGATAGAAGAAAATAGAAGAAAGTGAACATGTGTTGTTGAAGCCTTATGTTCCACTCGGAACCCAGGGGAATAATAATAAATAATAATTTTCAATAGTTAGTTTACGAGGATTAGATATGTTTTTATGAGTTTGATTACGGATCAATATCAGTTAGAGAACCATCGAAGAAAACCAGGGAGTGCTGAACAGCTGTTTCATTACAAACCCACTATTGAAAATTAATCTGATACTCGCTAGTGACTTGCTACAGGACGGAGTTTCTTGGAGTAAGTTCCAGTGGGAAGTTGTGACCAGTGAAGTCCATCCAGTCAAGTGTGAGGATGGATGTCCCATTGATGACATCCGTTGGTTGTCGCAGTAAATCACGAACTGGTAGAAGTTAGAATTCATGGGCCTGCGACTGAATCTGGTCTCAGTTGCTGAATGGTCTACGATCTAGCTTGCCTTGTAACCAGGGTTCGAACCCTGGCGGGTGGATTGGTGCATACTGCTGATGGTTTCCAAAAAACTAGAATGAAACAGCTGTCCAGTACTCCAGTGATGGTTTTCATTGGTTCTCTAACTGATATCAGTCTGTCATCAAACTAGTAAAAACAAATAATAATAACAGACTGAACAGTTATATAGTCTCAGTTTGGGACTCATCAGTAGAGAACATCCACGACTAGCTGAAAGACGGAGTTGATCATAACCAAGAGTAATCACCACACCTAAAATATTGAAGAACCCGTAACTTTCGTCTTTTATCAAGACAATGAATCCTGAATTCATTACTTTGTCTTAGATATGATGGAGAAGATTTGTAGCTCAGGTGGATGATTTTGATGTGGTTGTGTTCACTGAGCTGGATAGTTTATTTGCAAAGCTTTCATTGCCTCACCACTAGGCAACATCCTCACTTCGGCGCATACTTCAATTTGTTGAAGTGAGCTTTTAGATTTCTCCACGAGTTTATTAGTCATCTCTCTCCTGGTCACCTTGAACCTGACTCTTTGGTTGTTTTTGTGTGCTTTCACACCCTCTAGGCTACTTGTATTGGAACTGATTGTTTCCTTGACTTGAACTTTGACCCTTTGTGTGTGAGATTTCCTTCTTATCGGTTGGTAAATTTTGTCTATCTCGATGTGTCTATTGATTGACGATTCACTGGAATACCAGGCTTCTAAAAATTCTCTAGCATTCTTGGTGTTTCCTCTGTCTAATATTTGAACGCTGGTTGTCCCAGTCGAATTGATGTCCGTGGTTGTCTGTATGCAGTGAGGCGATATGAGGGAGTGGATGTCATGTCTTTTGATGGCTAGCTTATGTTCATGGATACGAAGACGAAGGGGACATCCACTTTGTCCAATGTAGTGTTTTTCTCAGTTGTTACAATTTATTTTATAGGTGATGCAGGTTTTATCTTCTCTCGTTGTTAAGTCTTTTGGTTGACATAGAGCTAGGTGAGTGAAGTGATTTTGTTGGTTTGTGTGATACGTCAATTCCTATAGTTTTGAAGAGTCTTGAACTGATTTCTTAGATATCCTTTATATATGGTAGGGCGATTTTCTTTGTGCTTTCCTTGGGAGCCTTTGATTTGGTAGGTTGCCTGGGGGGTAGGCGTCTTTTAATGAAATTCCAGTGAATCGTCAATCAATAGACACATCGAAATAAATAAAATTTACCAATCGGTAAGAAGGAAATCTCACACACACAAAGGGTCACGTTCAAGGTCACCCACCAGGAGAGATGACTAACAAACTCGTGGAGAAATCTAAAAGCTCACTTCAACAAATTGAAGTATGCGCCGAAGTGAGGATGTTGCCTAATGGTGAGGCAATGAAAGCTTCGCAAATAAACCACCATCCAGCTAGCTGGCTCAGAGAACACAACCACATCAAAATTACTTTGTCTTATTTAGTATATATATATATATATCATTCAAATTATCAATCAGAACTTTTAAGAGTTTAACCAAATAATGTAAGATAAACAAAGTTTTGCAAAAGAATTAATTACCTTTTTTGGATCAATAATATTCTCTTCATTATCACAATCATCACATGTGATCAATAAATATTTTGTCAACGGTTTATATGATTGATTATTTATCATCTGTTTTAACCATTGGATCATACGATCTGTTATATTCAATGTTAAATCTGGTGTTGAATACCCTTCAGGTACAAGTGTATGCGCTATCTCTGGTTTAATTAATTTAAACATTTTTTGATAATCATTAGATGACAAATAATAATGATAATAGTGGTGATGATGATGATAATATTGTGTTACAGGATGATTAATAAATGTTGGTGTTAATAAGACATCAGTTGAAGAAGAAGACACTTCTGGATCGTTTTCGCCAGCAGTATAATCATATTCATTTTCATTTTCGTTATTATTATTATTGGTGTTTTGTGCGGGGATTGACTCGCCTTTATTGTTTATCCATAAAAATCTTGATAAATATGCTGTGGGATAGATTTCCCAACATGTGAACTTTGAATTTGAACGAATCTGACCATTAATCTGTGAAAGAGGAAAGGAGAAGAGAGAATACCAGTGAAATAAGTAACTAGGGTAGCAAATTTCAAAGTACTAGGGTTGGGAGAGAGAGAGGGAAAGAGACATTTCAATGGAAGATTTCCTCACCATGAGAGATAAGCTCTGTAGGCTAAAGCACCCGGTGGAGTCAATTAAACAAGCCAATACTTGAATATCAATGAGATGCTCACTAACGACTGGCCCTATTTAGGTAGGTAGTTACCTGAATGGGTTCTAGTGGGAAGTCGTGAACAGTAGGGTGCAGCAGGTCGGGTGTGAGGATAAATACTCGCTGAAGACATTAGCTAGCGGTTGCGCCAAATTGTGAATTAGCAGAAGTTGGAATTCATGGACTGGTAACTGGATCGAGTCCCAGTGGCTTAATGGTCTACGAGCTCGCCTTGTAAACATGAGGTTCTGGGTTCGAACCCCGGTTGGTGCATACTGATGAAGAGTCCCAAACTAGGATGAAACAACTCTCCAGTACTCACAGGTTTTCCAGTGGTTCTCTAACCAGTGTCAGCTGGTGATGAAATTCTGTAACCATCAGTCAAATCCCTAGAAACCGATACTTGAAAATAATATAATTTACACAATACCTTCCAATGACTGTGATTGAGGTGAACTACATTGGTGAAACCAGTTGATCGGGGGTAGTGAGATTATCAGAACATAAGAATTTTGTGGCTAAGATTAGAATGATTGATCCCATGAAGATAAGTAATTTAGAAAAAAACTCAGCAATCACACTGCATGCATTAACAGACAACCACACAATAGGGTGGGAGGGACAGAGTCAAAATTCCAGAGTAATAAAGGTGAGTGGAGAGCGAGAGAGATTGATTCCTGAATCGTGCCTGGTTCATCGAGTCTGCACCCAACACATCCACCAGAAGTGACTCACTGCATGTACCAGAGATATGCATGGAAGATATTATTACCACCAGTCAAATCAGAGGAGGATAATAAATAATCTCAAAATTCTACTTCAATTCGCATACATTATAGCATTCTAACAAGTTACTTATTTTGACTTTAAAAACACTCGTCTTATTTCCCATCTGACTGCATTTGATTGATAACACTCGTATTGTTATTTCCGAATGTACTTTCCTATCTTATATTGACTTTTATTCAAATGTCTAATCATCAGTTCTACTCATGTATATAAACGAAGCGTGAAAGTTGTGTGAGTGACTTGATATGATTATAAGCTGCAGTAATAAGTTGTGCTCGAAACGTGGTCATCAGTAAATATTCCAGTACAACACTGTGTGATTTATCAAAGTAAAATCTTATCTATAATGGAGTTATACTCTGGTTCGCAAGCTTCTGCTAAACATGAGAAAAAGCATTATTCTAGATGGATGGCAGCTTATCCCAATACATGAGATGAATAGTTCCTGATTGGTGTCCCTCGTTCACAAAATGTAATCCTTAACCTTTTATAATTGACATTCAGCAAAATTTTGTGTATTTTTCATAGGAGAATAAGAAGAGAGATCACAAGGGGGATTGGTTTGCACTTCGGGTTAAATAGAACTATGTCAATTAATCTTTCACGTTAAGATCCTGGACGGAGAGAAAATATCATGCAATAAACTGCACTGAAAACTGTGTGCATTATATAAACATCGTTCAAAGTGAAGCACCCACTCAACTAACAGGGTTCAAACCCAGGACCTTCTGGTTACAAAGCGAACTGGCTAGAAGACCATTGAGCTACTGGGACCCGATCAACGTCTAGCCCAAGAATTCCAGCTTCTGCCAATTCACGATATAGCGTGATTGGCACCAGCCAGTGTCATCACTGGCGAGTATTTTTCCTCACACCCGACCTGCTGTACCCCGCTGGTTACGATTTCCCACTAGAACCCACTCAGGTAACTATCTACCTATACAGGGCCAGTACGCCCCCACATAATTTTGAAGAGTCCCAAACTAAGCTGACGAAACAGCTGACTGTTCATTATTCCCTGTTGGTTGTCCAATGATCCTCTAACCGATATCAGCTCATGATGAAATACTGTAACTAATCAAATACCTGCAAACGAACACCTGGAAACTATAAGTATTGTTTATTCAAATATGAAAGCATTAAATATGCAATGTATAACTTTTAAAAATGAAAAATCTGTAATTTTATCTTTGAATAACTATTTAGGCTACTAACAAGTAGTATAAGCAAAATGTCATAAAGTAATTTTGTCGAATTCAATATAAAATCTAAATTTCATGCAACCGGTTCCCTTTATTAGTTTGAAGAGAGAGAGAATGAACATGTTTTCAGGATAATACGAGCTCGTTTTATTTCGTAGATTCTCATCAACTGCATACATCCTGAACAAAATCAAATTATAAGTGTAAAAAAATGTTTGGAACATACTTTTTCATAATAACTTTGAGTTATAGATAGAAGGCATAAGGATGTCAACATAAAAAGAAGAAACGATGGGACAATTCAAAAATCTGTCTACAGGAAAGAATCTTGGACTGGTCAATACCTACATTATCATAGTTTTTGCCCAACCAGTTACAAACGATGTCTAGTAAAAACGCTCTTCAGCAGAGCCAAAGAAATATGTTCAGAAGACAAGATTGAAGAAGAACTTGAGATCATCGAAAGGAACCTTATCGAGAATGGATATCCTCGAAAGTTCATATTAAAGTATAGAAATGAAGAAGTACACAAACCGAAACCCGACACCGTTGAAAAGAAACCAGTTTTCATCTGTCTAGCGTACAAAGGGGAAGACGTGTCCACAAGAACACAAAAAAGAATCACAGGTGCATTAAAAAGAACGTTTCCAGCCGCCAGACTGATCCTACTTCACAATACTGTGTGCTCGTTAACCCAGTCAAAAGTAGATGAGTACCCTACTCACGTCAACTCCAACTGCATTTACCAATTCACGTGCACCTGCGGAAGCAAGTACATAGGAAGGACTGAGAGGACAGCATCTACTAGATTTTCTGAGCACATTCCTAAGAGTCTCCGTACAAAAGGAAGAAAAGTGTTATCAAGTGCAATCGCCAGACATTTAATTGACACAGGACACACAGTAGAAATTAGCCAAGCCTTCAAAATAATCAATACACAAAGAAACCCACGGCTACTTCGCTTCGCAGAAGCCATTGCTATCAAGAGATTTCGACCAGACCTTTGTATACAGAAAGATAGTGTGATTAATCTTTCACTACCTTGGTAACCCTAACTCTATTTTATTTTATTTTTGTTTTGCCTTTCTGTCAGTATGCCTGTGTGTTTGTCTTGCTACGTAACATTCTATTCAATTTTGACCTTCAAGTTTCTAAATCTACTTAATTGTTTGTCTGTTTAAGTTATAAATGTTACTTCACTATTCACCCCCACCCTCTTAAACTCTCCACCACAAGATGTGTAAATTTACTCTGTTCTCTGACCCTGACCTTGTAATATGCCTCTAACCAATCTGTGTTGTTTTCCAATAGAAATCTGAACTCTTACCCCTCTTATCTAATTCCACTATATATAATTAGTTGTTTTTGACACCGAATAACCTGTCTACCTACATCAAATTCTGGAATTATGTTCCTTATGCCTTCTATCTATAACTCAAAGTAATTATGAAAAAGTATGTTCCAAACCTTTTTTAAACTTATAATTTGATTTTGTTTAGGATGTATGCAGTTGATGAGAATCCACGAAATAAAACGAGCTCGTATTATCCTGCAAACATGTTCATTCTCTCTCTCTTCAAACTTAAAATCTAAATATTCCAAAACATAATTACTTCTGTATCAAGAAATTTCCACTAATAGAGGCAGTCAGTGAGTGAAAACAATTTTTATATGATTTTGTATTGAATTGTTAATTACTTTATTTGAAATCTATCACAGTTTATCTTCACCGATGAACATGTAGTGCATCTTGAATGTTTGAACTTTGGTTTTAACGCATTTATGAGACATATAGCACAGCGTCCTCACTTATCTTCCAGCGTGACTGCTTGCACGTGGCTTGCTCCCTCGTTGTGCTGTCATTAAGTGCAATCTTGAGCCTACTACCTGAGCCAGTTAACAGATAAGTTGTGCAGTATTCTTATTTATTAAATTTGACATCTGAGCTCACTACCTAGTCACAAGTCTTTTAACTTCGAGTTCGCTTATCGGTACTTACACGTTGGGCAGAGTACTGATCAGGGTTACCCGAGGTAGGCAAATTTAGTAGGTGCTGACGTTAAGGATTATCTAGAGCTTGACCTCGGCACTTACAAACACAAATAAGAATATTTAACTTAATTTTCGATTTTCCCGTCGATTGATTGGACATTAGAGGGAAAAGAACGAGAAGTTCAGCAAAGATATCTTTTCGGTGATTTCCTTATTGGACCAAAGTGCTCGGTCTCAGGCTGACATGTCGGCTCCTCCTTATGTAGATGCTTCGACGATGTATGGGCAAGTAATTAGAAGTTAACTGGTGGGTGGTGACTAACAGTGGAATTCAGGACGCGCATTTCGTCCTATTTGGGACTCGTCAACTGGATGTACTTGCATTCCGTAGTGAACGATGATGTTCCCACCGAGGCTCGAGAAAATTCAATTAAATAGTTAATATGACTCATTGAACAAGAGGCTTTCGTAGCCCAAATGGTCTAGTGGATAACCCGCTTTGCCGTTCGAAACTATGGGCACTGGGTTCGACCCTCAGTAGGGAACATCATCATTCACTGACTGGGGAATGCAGGCACATACAGATGACGAGTCAGTGTCCCAAATAGGATGAAATGCGTTTTTCCTGGATTTCACTGCCAGTCACCATCCACCAATTAACTTCTACAAATAAGAATAGACCACATTTTTGGAGTACATCGAGGGAAGGAATTCGTTTTAGTGAATTCATTTCAGTCAAGCATAAAAATTCTACTCAGTTGTATGTTGTTTTTCCACCAGAACAATTAGCTTTTTGGTTTATTTCACAACAGATGACTCCACGGAGAGGAGGA